GGAGTTGAGAAACCTTTAGGAGGTCAAGCTGCAGGGACCTAGAGCCTGACTGGACGTGGGGGATGAGAGAGAGGGAGCAGTCAAGGACGGCCTTGCCATGCCGCTGAGCAGCAGGGCAGCCCCAGCTCCAGGAATTCTGCGGGTGGAGCGACTGGAGACTCAAGGCTGAGCTCAGGGTGAGCAGGGTGAGTTTTAGGTGCCTGTGAGGTGTTAAGGTGGCCACAGAATCCCAGGAGGCAGCTGGAAACCCAGGGTCTTGGGGACAGGAGAGAGGAGTGAGCTAGACATGTGGGTTTGGAGAGGATGAGCCTGTGTGGTGGGGACAGAGGGGGGCGTGAGGGTCAGGCCTCCTTGGGATGGGAGAGCTGCGCACATACGGGGGCCGGTGGCGGGGAAGTCTAGGTCGAGAGGGAGATTCTGTAGGTGCAGGATCTGTGGGTGATGGGCAGATGTCCCAGAGCAGGGGGCCCAGCACGTCATTGCAAGGGCTGCCTGGTGGGCCAAAGAGGAACCTTCCTGACCCTTTGATTCTGGGCAGAGGGTAATCAGGATGGGTGTGGGGTGTGTTTGAAGATGGGGCAGGGGCAGCACGTCACTCCTTCAGGTTTTGATGAAGTCAGGTGTCTCCAGGGAAATCGGGTCGGGAAACTGGCCAGGGCAGGCTGAGGACTTTGGGGTCATGTTGAGGGTCCAGCTGAGACTGGAGACCCTACATTGACACTCGTCCCAAATCTGATGCTTTGAGTTCTTGACCACCTGAGCTTACTATGTAAAGACTGTGGTTAGGTTGGCCTGGGTGAAGTCTGGCTGGCTGGCTGGGGTGCCAAGGAGCCAGGGACTGGTGAGAGGGCCGGTCGGATGACCCAACCACTGGGGCAGCCGGAGAATGTGCTCAGAGGGAAGGGAGAGGTGTTGGGGTTAGGGTGGAAGAGGAGAAGCAGTTCTGAGTGGTGGCCTGGTGCAGGGTGCCCATGGGATTGGGAGCTGGACTTGAGTAGGCAGAAGGTCCTTGGAGAGCAGAGCTGAAGGTCCAGAGAGTCCCAGTGTTGGATGGGTCACCCACACGGATGCTGAAGGCCATCAGCTGATGGCAGACCTTGGAGGGGAGGAGAGACAGTGATCTGAGGCTGGCTGGCTCAGGAGCAAAGAGGGGCTGGCTAGGAAAGTGGGCTCTGGGAGGCTCAGAGAGGGGGGAAGATAGTAAGTAGGGCCAAGTCCATGAACCCCAGAGGAGAAAAGCCCCTATCCTGTGGGGCTGGTAACACCATGGTCTGGAAACACCCCTGGGATTGTGAAACAGGTGTCGGATCTTGGGGACCACACAAGGAAGTGTAGGTCGGGCTTGGTGAAGCAAAGAGCAGTGACAGTGAAGATGGGCAAGGAGGGTGCACCGGGAGCTATTGGTCAGGATGCGGGGTGGGAAGTGTGGTCCAGGGTTTCTGAGAGGCGGGAGCCTGTAGGATGAGGAAGAGTTCCCTGATGAATACAGAAGAGGAGCAGGGAAGAGTGGCCACCCAGAGGGACCGGCCCTGCAGAGCCTCATCCCACAAACACTCATCCAGGGTTCCTATGTCACAGGGCCGGCTTTTGTGTGCTTGGGGATACGTCAGTGAACAAAATGACAGTCCTTCCTCTCATGGCACTCATGTTCCAGCTGGTGGCAGGTGGGAGATAGAAAACGTAACAAACATGATCAGAAGTGGCTTCTAGAGGGTGGCGATGAGGCAGTGGCCAAAAGGACAAGCTGAGTGGTATGAGGCGGGGCGGGAGCTGTGCAGGCGCAGGGCCAGGGGCCGGGGCAGGTTGAAAGGCACAGCGTGGCGGGCAGGGCAGGCCCTGGTGAGGCCAGTGCTCAAGATCTGTGCGAAATCCCACCTAGTTTGACAGGACTGGGCAGCAGGGGTCCAGGATGTGAGGAGAGGTGCCTGTACGGTTACTCTCGCGGATGGTACCTGGGAGAGTTTTGAGACAAGAAGAATCTTTTAGGTTGGGAAAGAGAAGAGCTGTGGAAAGAAAGCAGAAGAAAACAAAACCCCTGGGCACCTATTTCGGGTCAGACAGTGCCCTGGGGGCACCTCTTTAATCAGTCTGTATTGGCCTCCAGGACAGCCCTGGGAGCTAGGAAGGAACTGTCCTCATGTGTCCCCCGTTCCCCTGAAAACAATGGCACTCTCAACACAAGCTCATGCTCCGTGCTGTCCTGGACACTTCTCCTGGATTTTCTTTTCTTTTTTCCTTTTTTTCGAGACAGGGTCTTGCTCTGTTGCCCAGGCTAGCGTGTAGTGGTGTCAGCCTGGCTCACTGTAACCTCAAACTCCTGGGCTCAAGTGATCCTTTTGCCTCATCCTCCCAAGTAGCTGGGACTACAGGCGCACACCGCCATGCCCCGCTGATTTTTCAATTTGTTGCAGAGATGAGATCTTGCTGCTTTGCCCAGGCTGGTCTTGAACTCCTGGTGTCAAGTGATCCTCCCGCCTCTGCCTCGGAAGGTGCTGGGATTACAGGAGTGAGCCACCATGCCTGCCCTGTTGGATTTTCTTTCCTTTTTTTTAAATAATTTTTTATTTTATTTATTTATTTATTTTATTTTAGCGTATTATGGGGGTCCTCTTGGATTTTCTTAACGCATCCTCCCAAGCACATAATGAAGTTGGTGTCGTCATCTCCATTTCCTAATGGCAAGTGTAAGGCTCCGAAGTATCAGCAAAGTGGCAGAGACCCGGGGCCCTGGGGAGCCTAGAGCCAGCCTGCGGTAATGGCTCCCCTACTCACTAGCTGTGGGACTTTGGGCTCAGCTTCCTAACCTGGAAATGGGGATAGTCAAAGGGCCTGCCGTCTAGGGCCATGGTGAGGATTAAAGGAGGTGACATATGTAAAATGTGCGAAATAGGCCCTGGCACATAGTAGGTGCTGTGCAAGTGTGCACTGCTCCTCTTATTGCCCAAGGTCACTTAGGTAGGAGGGGGGAGGGTTTTGGAGCAGAGCCTAGCCTGGTGGCGCTGACCCCTGCCTCCTCCTGGCTGATGCTTTGCCCCGTGTGGACCTGGAGGTGCCGACCCAGGCCCGGGAGGAAGGAGCTGTGCGTCCCCCACCAGGCCTGTTCCTTTGCTGCAGGCATGTGACATACTGTGTCGTGATGTGTTTTCCCCTCATGGTGCAAGACGTGACTCAGAGGGGCATGCTGGGGAAATGAGTTTCTCGGATTTGCCCACCCCATCGCCCCTGCATGCTTTTGAATTTCTCTGTATCAGACTTTATATCTGGCCCTGCCATTCACCAGCCTTAGTTATGCAGAAAACAGCCCCACATTTCCAACTTGCTCAACAGCCGTAAAGATTCATCTTTGGCCCTGGAGAGTAGCACGAGAGAGGAGGGGAGGGGGTAAAAAAAAAAAAAAAAGGAAAAAGAAGGAAAGAAAAAGGAAGGAAGAAAGAGCCAGCAACAATCAAAACAACCTTTTTCTCCCTGTGTAACTGGGCAGCTTCCAGGAGGATAATGTCTTTCCACCGTGGATCGCCCCCTCCCTCCCAGGCTGTTTTCGCAGGAAGCAAATCCTGGAGCATTTTCAATGTGCCCCTCGAGGCAGAACAATGAGGCCCTTGAAGCCTCGGAACCCGCGCGCTTCCTCCAGTTATCCGGAGCGGCCGAGCCCCTCTGGCGGGCGGGCGGGCGCGGGCGGGCGCGGGCGGGCGCGGGGCGGCGCGGAGGGGAGCGGGGGCGTCTCCGCGGAGGGGGAGGGGCGAGGCTGCAGGGTGTAGCGGAGCCGCACGGGGGAAGCCCATTAGCCAAATAATAGGTTTGGATCCGACTGTTTTGCCAAGGTACCCGGCATTTATCCGGCTCCCCGATTGGGGGCGGGGAGCCGGGAGCAGGCGGCGCGGATCCAATTACGGCTGCTCCGGCCCCGTCGCCGCGAGGTTGCGCCGGGCCTGGCGGGGCGGGAGGAGCGGGGTCGGGGGCCGCGGGACCTCCGGCCGGCCCGCCCCGAGCCCCCCGGCCCGCCCCGAGCCCCCCGGCCCGCGCCCCGGCCCGCGCGCGCGGCTGCGCCCGCCCGGCGGCTCAGTGCCTCATTGTTTATTGTGGAGTCTGCCTCTCCCCGCCGCCCCTCCGCCGCCCGCGCGCCTCCCTCCTCCCGAAAGAAAGAAGAGCCAGTCTGTGGAGACGAATGAGTCATGAATAAACAAACAGCGTGGGGGGAGCTGTCACTCTGCGCTGACTTCCTGGCCGCGCTCCGCTCCGCGACCTCCTGGCGGGGCCCAGAAGCGGGGCTGGCCGCGGTGGGCGCGGCTGCTCGGCCACGGTGGCCCCCGGCTCGGTCTGGGCCCCCAGCGGGGCGGGGTGCACAGGACCCCGGTGCTCAGGCCCGGCCTTGACCACAGCCCTCACCACGTAGAGTGAGTGTGACCTGATGTCCCCAAACCTGTGTGTACATGACAGCTGAGGGCTGTGAGTCGGGTCCCCTTGGGTTTGACAAAAGCCATCGACCACGGTCAGGCAGTGCATGCGGGGCTGGTCCTCTGGGGATGCGTGTGTGTGCGTGTGTGCACGCTGAGTTTTGTAGGTGTGGCTTCTCCCCGCGGATGTCAGGCGTGTGCTGCAGATGCAGGGACGCTGCTGCACGCATGTGTGTGTGTGCATGTGCATGCACACACATGTGCATGTGGTGTGTATCTGGAGTGTGGAACACACAAGAGTGAGCCTGCGCCTGCCCTGGTGGCGTGTATGTGTGTGTGTTGTGCAACCATTTTCCCAGCTCTGGATTGTGCTTCTGCCGCTTTAAGGTTTGAGATTTTGTTTTGTGCTTAGCTCTTCTCCACTTGGTCCTTTTCCTTCTCCCTTGTGTGATCCCATGGGTCATTTGGGGCCATCTCTTCCCATTAGTGAGGCCCAGGGCCTCAGCAGACCTCCGGGGCCTGGCCTGGCTGGCCTCAGCGGCCAGCCAGCTGTGGCCACACGCAGGCTGACAGTGCTGACTCATGCCTGGCGAGGGCTGAGTCTGACCGGCCCCAGGCTGGGCGAGCCCCCGCTGTGGGGAGGGTGAGGCCCTGGGCCAGCCCAGACATTCTGGGAGCTTGTGACCGCATGGGGTCAGAGGCAGGGGCAGGAGCCAGTCATTTCTTCTAGCTTCCCTGGCGACCACACACCCTCACATGGGTCCACCCCGGTGCCACTGCTAACCACTGGGCCTTCGGGAAGAAGGTTGGTGAAACCAAGGCAAGGCTGTGACTCAAGCTACAGCCCAAGCCCCTGCCAGCTCTGGCCCCGCTCCCTGTCCATGGCTGGCCCCAGTTCCTAAAGCTCCTCAGCTCTGGAGTGGAGATTTGCATGCAGGGCCGGATCCCCCCAGAGCGGAAGCAGGGCTGGACTGCAGTCCTCCCGGGATCCCCGCTCCTGCAGCCCCACCGCCAGTGCCTACTCACAGGATTTGGTTTCTTGGCACAGGGATCGTAGCCTTGGTTGTGGCCCTGATCAGAGAGGCAGGCTCCATGGGGCATTTCCCGGTCTCCTTCCTGGCCTTCAGCGGGCAGGCAGTTGGGAAGACTGGGATCAACAGAGCTTGGGAGGCAGGTCCATGTGGGCTCGCAGCCTGGCTCCTTCATTTTCTAGCTTTGTGACCTAGGGAAAGCCACTTAACGTCTCTGCACCTCTCTCTTCCTCACAGCCCCATGGAGTGGTTGCAGAAATTAAAGAGAGAATGCTTGTGAGCCCTGAACACCTGGCTTGGCATGGGACAGGGGCTCAGGAAGGGAGAGCCCACTCTCTGTCCACCCCAGCGCGGCCCCGGACCCCGAGCTCAGGGCCCAGAAGTTTGCCTGTCCCGGCTTGTTTCTCCTCTCACCCAGGGAGGTGCTGGGCCCTATGGGCCTTGGCTGGAGTTTGAAGAGTCAGAAGCAGTTGCACACAGTAGTTAGGGGTCCCTGAGTCTCAGGGCGGCATGGGGTCTGGGCCAGCCATCAAGCCAAGCTGGTCTAGGAAGGACGGCTGGGACCCACAGCAGTGGGGAGAAGTCTCTGCTCTTCAGGTCATTCTCTGGCTGTACCTGAGCTGGTCTCGACTTGTAGACAGGTTTTGTTTGGTCTACATGGGATTAAGTAACCAGCCAATACTTAGGGATGAAGACATTTCACGTGCAAGTGTAAATTTTCAATTTCCCTGAAATAATTAGGGAAGCTGGCCCTGCTGGGCTCACATTTTTATGTGGCAGCCGTGGGCAGGAACTGAGCAGCGGGGGCCTCTTCAGGCAGGACACGTGCCCCCCAGCTTACCGCAGTCTCCACCACTCCCTATTGCACCGGTTCTCAACCTTGAGAATGGGAGAATCACATGAAGGACTTGTTAAAACACAGATTTCTGGGCCCTACCCCAGAGTTTCTGTTTCTGTGAGTCTGGGATGGGCCTGAGAATTTCTAACACGTTCCCAGGTGATGCCGATGCTGCTGGTCCAGGCACCCACTTTGAGAACCACCTGGTGCTGAGGCTGATATATCATTACACTTGGCCTGTTGCTTTTCTATGAGGAGAGAAATATTTCTCTGTGTGCACAGCTCCAGCAAAAGTAGGAAAATAAAAAAGGACAGTATCATTTATTCTAGTAAAAGGGAGAAGTGTATATTTCTTTGTGGATGGGAAGGCTATTCCCTTGTGTTTATATGCAAGCAATTTGCATATATGTCAAATAAACACAACTCAAGCTGCCACAGTGCTGTCTGCCCTGAGCACAACCTGGGGAACGTGCCGCGTGGCTGCTGTCTCTGCACTGGATGCCTGCACCTGTCCATCTCACTGGACTCGATCTGCTTGGCCCTGCAGGTGTTTGAGGGTGTGACCCCTGCCGGTTCCACTGCCACATGGTGTTAGGACATGGAGACACAGAGTGGGTGAGACAGACCTCGTCCCGGTCCTCATGGGCTCACAGACTGCTGGGACAGGCGGGTGAAACAAATTGAACCCACACATAAAAGAAGGAATTACAAAGTATAACAACCAGGGTGCTGAGATGGAGAATAAGGGGGTGTATGGGGACCCCTTTTTAGTCGAGGTGGTCAAGGAAGCTTCTCTGTGGTCCCCATCCTGTGGGGTGGGGTTGGGAGCAGATGGCATCTGGGCCAAGGCAGCTTGCATCTCTGCCCTGGAAGATGGAGCTAGGCTGAAAGTCAGGAGACCCCGGCTCGAGTCTTGGTTCCAGTATCACTCCCCTCAGGGCTCCCCCAGCTCTAGAGTTTGCACCCCGCTTCAAAGCCCAGCTTGTGGCTCACCAAACCCAGGGAGCCTTCTTGACCTTCTGGCCCATGCACGCGCATGTGCGTGTACACCCTCTCTCAACCACTCTGCCCTCCAGCTCTGACTGCTGCCTCACCCTTTGGGGCGCAACAACACAGCGCCTCATTGTTACTTAGTGGCTTCCTGAAGCCGCGGGTGTGTTCAGGAGGCCGTGCAGTTACTTGGTCTCTCCGGACCTCAGAACCTTCTGGGCCATTGTGTCCTACTCTCGTGTGCAGATGAGGAAATGCAATCCAGGGCTTTCAATGCCCTCCACTTCCCGGCTCATCACAGGGCAGGACTTTTCCTTCCTCTTGACTTTCCTGAGTCCATCCTGAGGCCAAGCACAGAGCAGGGCGTGGGGGGCTCGAAACTGACACCTCTCATAATTCCATCTCTAGAATGGCTAACGAATCTTGCCTGGTTGTGGCAAACCAGTGGCACAGTCTCCCCACATTGTGCCCACAGCAGACATCACTAATCCATCGTGACTCCTTCCCGTTGAGTCCACACAGTGCATCAGAATCCTTCTCGACCGATCCTCTAGGAAGCTGATGCCAATGAATCAGAATTGACTCATGGAATGAAATTTATCAGCCACTCCTGGTTTTGCGGGGCTCATCTGCCTCCTGAGTAAGTAGCAATGTGGGACATGGACCTAGGGTGCGATTTTTAGCACCTGAGCCAGGCATGGAAGTAGGAGCTGGATTGGTCTGTTAGTCCCACTACTGTGTCCCTCTGACGGGGGGAGCATGGGCTATGAGGGAGTCAGGCAGAAGTGTGGACCCAGGATAGAACCAGGTTCAGGGGGGCGAGTCCTGCTGGGGCTCCCCGAGGGCTGGCAGAGAGCTCCGGAGAGTGAGGACATGAGGGATATAGCCAACTGAGACCCACCCTCCTGTCCCACCCAGGATTAAATATCCTCATCCCCAAATGGGCAGAACACTCCCCCCATACCCTGAATGACAAGCAGTGGTGGCCCAGTCCACTGTGGAGTGTCCCTTTGTAAGCAAAAGAAGCTTTATGGAAATTAAATGTGGATGTTTGTGTTCCAGGAACATCAATATATTTGACAGAGCTGTGGTCACCAGGAGAATGCACAGGACTGCTGATGCTCGAAGCTCCCAACGGGGTTCCCGAAGAATTGCCTGGGTATCCAGCCCTGCTCTGTGCAGAGGCCTGGGCCAGGGGGTGGGCCTGGCTCCTGAGGCTCTGGCCTCAGGGCTGGAAGCCAGCAAACTGAGATGAAGACAAGGGCCTCCCTGCCGGCCCCCCCACCACCGCCGGCTCTCACAGCCCCTGTTTATCTTCTTCCTCCTCCTGGCCCAGTTCCCGAGCTCTGGATGGGGCTGGGGTGTGGGTGCAGCTCTGTGGATGGCGCTATCTGTCAGGGTGTCCTGTCCATCAGGGTGTCCCGCCCACCTGGTCTGCCTGTTCACACGCCCATCACTGGTGCCTGGCCTTGGACGAGGGATGACCGATTGAATGCATGCACTTGTCTAGCTTGTCGTGCATTCGTGCATTGCTGAATGTCTGTTGTCTCTGCTCCACCTTGAGCTCCGTGAAGACAGGGCTGAGGCTGGGGGCTCCATGGCCAGCCTATCCCAGCCTAGCAATGGTGGTTCTGTGCACATTGTGGAGGGACACTGAACTGAAGGGAAGGCCACATCTTCCTCCTGTGCCCTTGGGGCTCTGTTGAGTCCCGGATGTGGGCCACGATGGGCCGTGGGCAGTTCTGGAGCTGGTGCCCCGGTTGTCCCTGAGAACGATAGAGAATGCTCACCATTCCCCGCTGCCACGCCCTGTTCCCCACGCGCCGTGCCCGGAGCCCCCTTCCCTGCTCCATTTCAGCCCATTCGAGATCCTCTTTGTCTATTAAGGTTCAACTCCAGGGCCACCTCCTCCAGGAGGCTGTGCCTGAGAGGCCTCCTGCTGTCCTCTAGCCCTCGGCTCTCCCTCTGCTGTCCTCACGGGGCCTGTGGGCCACGTACTAGTGCCCCTGAAGGCTCTGGCCACCATGCTTTCTGCAGGCCATAAGGGCAGGGGAGGGGCTGCAGCCCTGGGCAAGGCCTCGCTGGGCCGTGTGAGCTGCTCCAGAGATGTTTGGGAGATGTCTGGCCCTGTCCCAGGGGCCCTGTCTCAGGGTCAGGGGGCGTTGCTTTTCTGCAAGGACAAGGGACCACATCTGGGTCTTCCCCCTGCAGCAGAGCCCTCGCCGCCTCCATGTGCGTGGGCCGCAGGTGTGCACAGACCTGGCCTCTTTCCTCTGCAATGTTCGCTCCTTAGCTTCAGGCTCTGGCCAGGCTTTGGAGATGGCATGTGGTGTCGGGTCTGGGGTCTGCGCCCCCACTGGATGTGATGTGCGGGGTCTGTGGTGACTCGGCCTCTCGGAGTTTGTTTCCTCGGTGGCAAAAGAGGACATCGGTTCCCATCTCATAAGGTTACTGTGGAAATTACAGGTGCCAACGTGTGTATTCCCTCCAGCTTCTCTCTGCCTAGAAGGTTCTCCCATCTTCTTTGCCTAGACAGCTCCTATTCATCCTTCAGAAGATCTGGGCTCAATGTCACCTCCTCCAGGAAGCCCTCCCTGGACAGAAGTTCCAGTCAAGTTCCTCTGCTGTGGACTCCTGGGCTTCCCCGTGGTGCTTATCTGTGTGTGAGAGTGTCTACTTAGAGACGCCTCCTCCATTAGACTGGGAGCTCCGGGAGGGCAGGGGCCGCGCCTGCCCTGTTCTCCGCTGCATCCCTGTGTCCTGCTCTTTGAGGCAATCGGGGAATGTTTGTTAAGTGAATAACAAATGTAAAGTGTCGCATGCAGAGTGGAGACCCAGTACATTTCAGCTCTTCTTACCAAATGTGGCCCCCAGGGTCCACGTCATCACTGCATTTGGTGCTGTCGGACTGTCACATGGTCAGAAAGCGCTGCACCCGGCCCTTGCCAGTCTGCCCTCCCCAGGGAAGTGCCTGCCCACGCTGCCCTCTCTGCACCGATGCAGGGTAGGGGGAGGCCCAGTGAGGTGTGCCGGAGGCCTGATCCCCCGGTGTTGGCCACTGCCCTGCTTGCCAGGGCCTGCCAGGATCCGCCCCGGGCATGGAGGGCAGGTAGGAAGTCCACATCGGCACACAGCTGGCTGACAATGAGGTCTTGGCTGCCCTGAGCCCATAGCTAAGAAGGAGAGTCCGTGCCCACTGAGGTGACTGTGAGCTCAGCCTGGGCTTTTAGGGTCATGTCCACACCCCAAACTGTGTCTGCCTTTTGAATCCACTTCTTCTGACCGAAAGCCTGGTGCTCATGTCTGCTCATCAAACCATCCAGGTCCTGGATCTTCTAGGTCACTCCTCTGGGCCTCAGTTTTTTTCATCTGTCAAATGGGAATAAAAGCCTTGTGATATGGTGGAATTTTGAGGAGCCAATGGAAGAACTTGCACTCAGAGCACTTTACAGTTTGTAGAAGCCTGTCACATGTGTTCCCGACATACTGAAGCAACCCTTCTCTGGAGAACTGGAGATGAATGGATGCTGGGGAGATGAGATACTCACTCAAGAAAGTTCGGGGTGCTGTGCTGTGGGTGCAGCTCTGGGGGGCGCTGTTCATGTGGATGCAGTCTATATAGCGCCTCTTGTGATAGAGCAGAGTGGCGGTGCCTTGGTCTGGGGCAGACAGACGGCTGACAGCGAGCTCTGCCCGGTGCTTGCAGGAGGCAGCGTGTGGAGCAGCGGTCCGCTCTGCACGGCCATGCTTAACCTGGAACTCTCAAATCAGTCACTTGTGTCCAGGGGGGTCCCCAAGTGCAGAGGATAACAGCCTTGGAACCCTTTGCCCTGGGGCCTGGTCTGCTCAGTCTGAAGGATGGACACACCTGCCTGGCCACCCACACGTGCTCATACGTGTCCACACTGTGCACACGTGCACAGGCATGGCACTCTAGACTGACCTCCTCTCTTGCATGGACCTGAGTAAGTGTCTCATGTCTTTTTCTACGTAGAACACATGGAAAAACACTTCCCAAGCAACTTCTAGGAAGAACATTCTTTCTAGTTCCCTCTCATCTCCTTCTTTGTTTTGCAAACTGGGAAACTGAGGCCAGAGAGGGTAAGTGGTTTGTTCAGGGTGCCACGGCAGGGCAGTGCCAGAGCCAGGAGCCGCAAGTGTGACATCGGGATGCCCTTACCTGTGCGGGGTGTCACAGGGAGGTGACTTCTGCTCTGCAAGGAGTGTGATTGCAATGTGCTGCACTCGGTCAGGGAAAACCGACGTGGCCGTAATGTCCCCGCAAGGTGTGCATGGCTGAGATCACACGGGCGGGAGACTGAGGTCTGCCCCTGGAGCCCTGGGCTGTGGGTTTTGCCCCACATTGCGAGAAATTCCAGGTCTGCAGCAGCTGCTAGGAGAGCAGGCTCATTCAGACTGTAACTTAAAAATTAGAAAAAGGAATTTGGGAAACAGGGCTCCATGCAGGAGCCAGGGCCGGCCTTTCCCTGTGGCTACCCGCTTGGGGCTGCCTGTCCTGAGGGCCCTGCTCCCAGTGCGGCTGACACGGGCTCCTTCCTGGCCTCTCACCTCTCGGCCCTCTCCGGCCCTCCCGCTGGCCCTGCCGCTGGCCCTCCCGCTGGCAGGCTGCGGTAACAAGATGCCCTTTGTGTGTGGGCGGGGGAGGGGGCTGCGGGCAGCTCCTGCTTGGCTGCTTGCTGCTGAGTCACAGCTCCCTGCTGGCTCTGGGAACAGAAAGTCGCAGGTGACTGGCCAGGCGGCACGGAGCCCAAGACCTTGGAGATGACCTCGGACAACCCCTTCCTTGCACAAGTGGGGAAATCGAGGCTCAGAGAGGCAAAGGGGCTGTTTCATGCTTTCCTGGGTGCAAACGTCAAGGTGGGGCACCTCTCCCTGCAGTCCAGGGGCTCCCAGGCTTGTCGTGTGGCCATAACAGCGTCATAGTGGGTGTGTCTGTGTGTCCACGTGCATGTGCACGTGTGCTCACGTGTTTGTGTTTGCGCTCATGAGTGCTCGAGGGTGCAGCGCACGAGTGAGTGCTTCTGTGCATCAGTTGTAGGTGAGTCAGCCTTTCTACGGTCCCCCACGCCTTCTCCCAGGGACACCAGGCCTGTCCTCAACAGTCTTGCCCCTTCTGTCTGGGCTTCCCCTTGCCCAGTGCAGGAGGCCCCAGCCGGGACATGGGAGCGCCTGTGATGGGCAGCTCATTACCCGACGAGTCACCCCCATGAACGCCGGTGCCCCTGCACTGTGCTGCGTGGGACCCACCTTTGGGGGCCCAGTCGGAGCTGTGGGCTCCAGAGCCAGGCTGCCGGGATGTGAATCCCGGCCCTGCCATTCCCTAGCTGTGCCATGCGGGCAGGTTCCCTCTGTCCCCTGGGCCTCCACTTTCTCATCTGTAAAATAGGGATACTAGTAGCCTGGCCTCAGAGCTGTCACAGGGATTGAGTTTGTACCTATAAGGCTCTTAGAATAGTGTGCAGCATATATTAGGCCCTTAGGAGTATAAGCTATTCTTATTGTTATAATCATCATTGTTCTTCTTGACCCCAAGAGGGCCTATTGGAGACGCGAAGCCTGAGGTGGCCCGGGGCTTGGAGTCCCTGGCAGCACGAGGCCCGGTTCCTTTGCTCACGGAGGAGCAGGCACGGAGGGGTGCAAAGCTCCCCTGGGAGGAGTGGCCTGTTCTGGGCTGTGCCCCACCGAGCAGTGGCACCTGAACAACGGCCCCACGGCAAGGCCTGCATGGTCGGTACTGCCCCGCCGGGTGCACACGGCCTCCCTGGGCCTCTCCGCAGAGCAGAGCGGTGGCCCGGCCCCGGGAGGCAGGCAGTGCCCGGGGCACTGGAGTGGCTCTCCTCCTTTTCGCAGGGGCCTCAGCGGCCTTGGCGATGGCCGGCTTCCTGTTGCTGCTGCAGTGACACCCCCCGCCCCCACCCCCCACCTAACGCCAGGGACGGCCATCTGGGCCCGAGGGCTCGGCGAGGGGGCCGCCGGCCATCTGCCTGCTTGGCGCTGGCTGCTTCCGAAAGGCAGCAGGGCGCCCGCCTGCAGGAGCTGGGGCTGCGGGAGGAGGCTGCGGGCCGGCGCCCTGGCCTGGCAGCCTCTCAGGCCCCAAGCTGCCATGAGGAGCCCGGTCCCCATGGCTTCCTGCCCTGATTCTCCCCCACGTACGCACAGGGCTCAGCCGTCGGGAGGCCTGGCCGTTGTACCTGCTGTGCAGGGCCTGCCCAGTGACCTCAGGGAGGTCCCGCCCTCCTTTCCATCTGCACGGTGGGCAGGCTGAACTCACCCCAGACCCCCACCCGGTCAACGCTGCCTCCAGCCCTGGGGCTGACTGGGGGGGGGACACAGAGGGATGGGGGAGGCTTCCCAACTGTGACCTTTCCTCCCAGCTCTGACCCTGGGAGCTGGCTCTCTGGCCGAGGACAGAATTACACGAATCCCTAAATGACCTGGTCCCGGTGTGGTCCAGAGCTGGGATTCCTGCTCAGTGACAGCCCAGGCCTGGTTCCCTGCATGGTGGGTGCAGGGTGACAAGGCGCTGAGGACACCTCTCGGGGAGGCAGCTTCTCACTCACTCACTCATTCATTCACTCATTCATTCACTCACTCAGTTTACTGAGCATCAGCGTCACACCGACACTGCGCCGTGAAGGTGAGACATGACGGTCAGGGTAGGGGACGCACCTGAGACTTGCCACTGACCCTACGACACAGGTGGGACAACCTAGTGGCAATGTCACCCTGGCCCAGGGGCCGGGGAAGCCTCTGAGACGTGTGGACTGAGCCCTGGAGGAAGCTGGGGCGGGCCAGGGACGCTTTGTCTCCACTGTCACTCATGAGCTGGGAGGGCACTGTCCCCTCTTGATGGATGAGGAAACGGACTCCCAAACAAATAGATACACAAGCGGCTTTCTTTTTTTTTTTTTTTTTTTTTTGAGACAGAGTCTCACTTTGTTGCCCAGGCTAGAGTGAGTGCCGTGGTGTCAGCCTAGCTCACAGCAACCTCAAACTCCTGGGCTCAAGCGATCCTCCTGCCTCAGCCTCCCGAGTAGCTGGGACTACAGGCATGCACTACCATGTCTGGCTAATTTTTTCTATATATATATTAGTTGGCCAATTAATTTCTTTCTATTTATAGTAGAGATGGGGTCTCGCTCTTGCTCAGGCTGGTTTCGAACTCCTGACCTCGAGCTATCCGCCCGCCTTGGCCTCCCAGAGTGATAGGATTACAGGCGTGAGCCACCGCGCCCGGCCCACAAGTGACTTTCTCTGGTCACGCCGGGCAAGTGGCAGAGCTGGGATCTGAACCCCCGTCTGATTCTGAGTTCTATCAGACCCTGGATTCCCCGGCTTCCCTGGCGTTCCTGCTGGTCGAGTGCCGCTGGCCTCTCTGGTGAGGCTGGGTGGGGAGGGTGTCCTGATTCGTGGAAGAGCCCAGGGGAGCCAGGTGGGCCTCTGGACCGCTGTCTGCAGCATGGGGCTGGGCCAAGTGCTCGGCCACCTGGGACGGGAGCCACTGGCCTGAGGCCACACAGCCAACTGGGAGCCAGGAGTCCCACTGCTGGTTTACTGCGGACCTTCCTGCCCCCGGGCTTGGCCACTGGGCATGGTCGGCCCAGCCCTGCAGTTTCTTTTGCTGGGATAAGTTCAGTGGAAGGGGCTGTGCAGAGGTACCACAGGCCCTGCCCCATAGGGAGTCCCGGTCACTTTTGCGCTCCAAGAGGGCTTAGACCTAGGGGACTTCCTCCCCTCTCTGTCTCCTTGTGGGGAGCTGGCATGAGGTTACACATCTCCCAGGCCCAGGGTGGGCATTGCTGCCCCAGAGGGCTGGGCAGACCCTCAGAAGCTAGTCCATCCACAGTGACCATGGTTTAGACTCAACTCTTCACTTCTCCCCAGGCCAGTCTCTGTGAATGTCCCCACCATCACCCTGAGTCCCTCCTGCTCCCCTGCCAACACCCAAAACCCAATACGTCCCCCATTTCTCCATGTCTCACCACTGCCATTGCCACCATCCCTGTGGCATCCTCGTCTGCTGTCCACCAGGTGACTAACCGGCCTCCTAAGTGGGCTTCACCTGTCTGTGCCCGCACCTCTAGCTCCCCTCCCCACGCACCTGCCGGGAGATTTACAAACAAAATCAGATCACGACAGTCTGCGGGGAGAGCCCTGTACCCTGAGCATGGCAGGTAGGGCCTGTGTGACCTGGCCCCAGCCACTCTTGGCCTCCCGCCCTCCCAGCCCCATGTGCCTCGGTGTCCCTGGTCTCTGTTCTCCCTGATGTCGCCTGCTGGTTCCCTCCTCCTGGCCTTGGCACGGTGTGTCTCTGCATGAAAGTTCTGTCCCTGCGTCTCTGCATGGCTGCTCCTTCTCTCCTGGGCTCAGGGTCTAATACTGTCCCTACCCCCCATTCACTCTCTATCCCATTGCCCTGTTGACTTCCTTTGGAGTGCTGAGGTGTTCTGTCATCTTCCCCACTGTCCCAGCTATATAGAATGTAAGCGCCAGGGTGCAAGGCCAGCTCCCGCCTTTTCCGTCCTGCATCCTGGAGCCCAGGCTGGAGCTGAGAAGGTACTCAAGGAACATTTGCCAAATAAGTGAATCTCGTGGTGCTTCCAGTTGGAAACTAACTTCTCTGCACCCCCAGAAGCTTCCTGGTCAGCCCCAGCTTGCACTCCCCTGGGCATAGAGGTTCGTTCCCCCTAAGGCAGCACTTTTCCTCCCTGGGCCGCTTGGACTGCTAGACATCGTGCTCATTCTGATATGAAATCAGCTTTGCAGTGACTTCCACTAGCTCCAGCTCAGCTCCCTGAGCCTGGCACCTCTGCAGGATCCTCTATCCGATATTTGGAGAGTGAGGATTAATGAGGAAAGAATGGAAGATGCAGAGTCCCAAGCCACGGGTTCAAATCCCCTCTATTCCACTTCTTCAAGGTCTGCCATAAGTTGATAAGGTCTCTGACCCTCGGTGTCCCCTCTGGACATGCTGGAACCGTGCCCCTCTGGGCTGCACGAGGGTGGGAGGAAATGTTGGCCAGTGGGCCCAGCCTGGTACCTGATGCTTGAGTTTAGGAAACGTCTCTGGGGTTCTTCACTATTCCAGGGCATCCGGGCCTTGCTCACATATCCCTGCTCCCTCTGCCCAGGGGCGGCTTGCAAGTAAGAAACAGCAGAGAGGAAAAGACCAGCCCTGCTCAGGTGGGCCCGGGCAGCAGAGGGTGGGGGGTGCGGTGCGGGTGGCGTGCCAAGCTCTCCCGCAGTGATTTATAGTGTTTGGGCTTCTGGAAAACATCTCGGTGCAAGGTGGCCCAAGGTCAGTGCCTCTGTTCTGCGATCTCTTTATGAAAAGGGAGAAGAGAAAGTGGGCACCGGTTCCAGTTTTTTAAGGAGCTGGCTACGAGCCAGCCAGCAGGCATCAGAGGAAGGCAGCTGACTGCACTCGGCCACATCCTGAACGTGCCTGAAAAGGAAGGAGGAAGAAGGTATTTCTGAAGGAGCTGCTGGGTCCCAGGCCTCGTGCTGGGAACCTTGTAACAGGGACCGATGGTCTGGCGCTTGGGAGAGGCCAGATGCTGTTCTAAGCACTTTATGTGGATTGATTCATTTATCCTCACGCCACCTCTGTGAATAGGTATTATTGCTCCCATTTTAAAGATGGGTTAGCTGAGGCACAGGTAGGCAACATAACTTGTCCAAGGTCCCATAGCCAGCCTGGAGGTTATTTGATCCCAGTCTTACAACTACTTGGAGATGAGGATCATTATTACCTCCATTTTATGCATGGCAGCTCCAAGGATCAGAGGAGCCGAGTGACTTGTCCAGGGTCACACAGCAAGAGGGTGCAGGAGTGCTCAGGTTTGAACTCCCGCCTGGGTGGCTGCAAAGCAGTGCATCACTCTGTGCTGTGCAACTTGGCTGGTCTCCTGGGTTCTCCTCAGCCCCTTCAAATGGGTGGGCTGGGGACAGGAGGGTGGGCTGAAGATTGGGAGGGATGGTGGGAGCTAAGCCAACCCCAGAACTGCTGTGGGCCCCTCCGATTTCCCTGCCGACGGTGCCTTGGGCTTTATGGGGACGTCTGTGTTTCCAACACAGACCCAGAGGAAGAAGTTGAAATCCCTGGTAAACCTCCCTGTTAAGCCACCTTCTTTGTTATCAGAAGGATGTCAGGAAAGATTCAGATAAAGAGGCCATGTCTGGGCCCCGCCATCCCGGAACAGCACCCCCCCCCACACACAGGATGGAGTCAGATGGGGGAGGATCCTGGGCTGGAGCCGGGGCCTGCTCGAGGACAAGGCATGAGCTGGCCCAGTGTGCCGCCTGCATCCAGTCTGCAAAGCCCCTCCCTGTCTGCCTCGGCGACCTTCCTGCTCTACTGTTCCCACCACCATCAGAACCTCCTTCTGGAAAAGGCTGGGATGTCCCTGGAACCTGGGAGTCCCTGGAAGTTGGAGTCCCGGTCTCTTTGTGATTATCTGCGAGGGCAGTAGTAGCTCTGCCAGTGTAAGAAGAGCCCAGCTTGAGGGTCCAGAGATTGGGCTCCAGTCCCAGCTGCAACAGTGAGCATCTCAGGAGACATGGCAACATCCCGAGGCTCACGCTCCTCATCTGTACGATGGATATAGTGACCTGGTACCTGATCCAGTGGGACAATGGAAAAGCCTTTGCTCACGGTCAGGTGTCAGCCAGCTGCCCACAGTTACCGTCCTGTACCCGATAGTTCGCACAGTTTGCGTAACACCAGAATCACCTGGGGGTCCTAGAACGCACAGATGACCAGCTACTCCCCCCAGGTGTCCTGATTTAATTGGCCTGGGGTGCAACCACTCACTGGGAGCCTGAGAGCTCCTGGGTGACTCTGCCGTGCGGTCAAGTGAGGGGCCCGCTGGGCAGCCCCTTCCCTTCTGTGACTTCACCGGCTGATTAGGCAGCAAGGCAGCTCGCAGGGCAACGTCGGGCCCAGCCTTTTCTCTTGGGTGCTGTTCTGCTCTCTAGACCTGTCCTAATGTGTCCTGCTGAGAGTTTAGAATCCTGAACACCAGCTTTTATGGACCGTGCTCTGGCAGATGTCTGAGCGGAAGGTCCCTCGATTTCTGCTGACTTCCTTCCGTGCACTGAGGCTGCATGGGGATGGGGGAAGTGGAGGACGGAGGCCAGGTCCTTGCCCTCCGCACACTCACGCACGGCCCCTTCCCTTGTGAGCTCCTTCCTTATGGGTCAAGGGGCTGAGAGAGGATGGGAACAAAGCGTGCCCAGGCACCAGGACCTGCCATGGCTGTCCCCTGGATTAGGTGTGAAAGCACGTGAGGAAGGCTGTCATTCCACTTGCAGAAGAGGAAGCCGTGACTCTGACAGGTGCCAGGACTCGAGCAGGGTCTCATAGGTCTTAAGCAGCAAAATGGGGGTGGCCCCGGGTCTGCCTGCCTATCAGGTCCCTGCTGTGGCAGGTGGTGGGGGTATGATCTGGTGGAAGCAGGCAGGGCTGGGGGCTGGGGTCAACCCAGGGAGACCGAGTGGGTCCAGAGTCCCCTCTGCCCTCCCTCTGCTTCTCTCATCCCTTCCGGGTCCCCAGAGCAGAAGGCAGCTCTGAGTGTCCGGGGCAACGAAGGGCTATGGAGGGTGTTTCCTCTCCTGGGGTTCAGTGTGCACAGCTGTGGGTCTCTCCTTTTCACCCTGCAGTGCCAGACTGGGGGAAAGGCCTCTGACCTCACGTTCTTTGCTTATGGAGTGGCCAGGGGGGATTCAGTGACCTTTGAGACAGGGGACGACATCCTCAAGTTCGGCTCAGACTCGGCAGCTGCATCTGCAGAGGCTCAGGAGGTCAGAGCTGTGTCAGGATCCGTGACCCCCACGTGAGCAAGGTGGCCCGGTGGGAGGCTTCCGTCACCGTGACGACTCTGATGCTGAGCTACGGCAGCCCGACTTGAGTGGCGAGTCGAGAACGGTGTTCTAGGGCCTGCTTTTCCAAGTTCCCTCATTGAGTTGAGGGTGGAGTCTGTATCTCACCCAACCTCGATTTTCCCCGTTTGTAAAATGGGAGGCGCTATAAGTAATTGTCAAGGCAAGTGTGGGGTAAAGCCTTGAAATGAGAGCACATAAAGTTATCCACCCACCCACACATCCATCCACCCACCCATGCCTCCTTCCGTGCATCCACCAAATCTCAAGAGCCAGCTCTGAGCAGATACTTGCAAACACCCATGAGTCAGAATTTCTCCTACTTCCGGGGACTCTCGGTTCCCGTGTGAGGGGGCTGTCTTGTGAATAAAGGGGCCAGCATTGGTTCAGTCTAGACCATTTGGCAGGTTTCTTAAAGGAGACTCCCTTGGAGCTGGTTTGATGTGAGAGTTTGCCTCGTGGAGGAGCAGGGGAACCGCGTCTCGGGCACAGGGAATGGCAAAGGCCTACTGGGGCGTGGGGTACAGGCCTCCTGGCTCTGTGTTGTGGCTGAAATTTGTCAGTAGCTGCAGCCGCAGCTGTGGGTGGGGGTTTCTGAGCTGGGCTGGGCATGCTAACACATCATGTGCTAACAGATCCTGCTGGAGCAAGTGGAATCTGGTCTGCTCCAACGGGGCAGGCCAAGGCAGGGGACGGGGCGGCTGCTGGGGGGTGGCGTGGGGGGTGCTCTGCTAGTCTGTCTGCTCCCTCCAGGAGAATGTGCCTCCCCTCTGCCCAGCTTCTAGCTCTGTCTTCCCATGGGTCAGGAGACCTGTCCTGCCCAGATGTGGAGCAGGCAGGAGCACTGGGTGGGCCCTGCCATTCCTCATTCAGCCCCAGTGGAAGGAGTGATGCTGTTATTTGCATTTCAAAACCTGTATCTTCCTGCATCTTTCCTTAATAAGAGCCAATTACACCTCTGCCCCAAACCGCAGGTTGCCTGCCTGTCATTGGACTTTTATCCTGTTTGGGGTGGGGAGGAACTGCTCCCTTAAATGTCACATTTAGCATATGCAAATGAAGAGATAATTGTCCTTAATGGAAAATGAACTCACCTGCTTGCTGTGAGCTCCAGACAAAAGCAGGCATTGGTGAAACAGGCATGAGGGTGAGCTGGGGTCTGCTCTTCCATGCCTGCTCAGCCGGGGCCGGCTGGCCTCACCGCCTCACTCCACCGGCTGGGCGATGGCAGTCCAGGGGTCTTGGCCAGTTGGAAGCGAACACATTGAGAGATTGTTCCTCCATTTGACAGATGTGGACACCAAGGCCTGGGTCGGGGAGGGACTGGTGCAAGGTCGCGCTGAGCCAGGCTTGTCAGGGGAAAGCAGAGTGGAAGTCACATCCCAGGGGAAGTGGGAGCCTTCAAGATCGGGTGACTCTCCAGCCAGGCAGACAGGGACTGTGAGACAGCCCTGGGAGTTAGCACTTGCTGGGGAGCGTAAGTCCTTAGTAGATAACAGTTTCCAGTATGAGTGTTGTGCATGGTAACCTGGAAGCTGAGAAGGGAGGGTTGGAAGGACAGGGGCTCTGGGGACAATCTCAGCCACTTCCTCCTGGAGCACAATCAAAACACCCCATTACGTTTCTCTCAAAACTGAGAGTGGAGGTGGAATGCATTCAGAGGGAGTGAGCCCTCTGTCACTGGCAGTATGCAAGCAGCATGGGAGGGCCTTCTGAGGGTGCAGTGGTCCAAAGAGGGGGGATTCCTGGGAGGAGAGAAGTTCTCTTTGGGAGGAGCCCCACTGGCCAACCCCGAGTGGACCACAGGATGAGGAATTTAAGGGGCCCCAGGCCTCAGTGGGACTTAGAGACTGGGCCTGACCTGCTCTCAAGTCTCAAAGCCCCTGCCTTGTTCTCTAATTCCAGAGTCAGGAATTTGGACTGTTCCTCATGCCCAAGTCCCATCCTGGTTTCTGCCTGGCCTTGGGCGCTTGCCCTTGACCCCTGGGGTGCTTCGTGTTTCCGAACTTTTCGGGGCTGGGCCTCACTCAGTCTTCCAGAGGCTGCAAGTTGCTGCCTCCCAGGTGTGGCGCTAGTGCTGGCCAAGTACGCCAGTTGGTTCTCTCCTCTTCTGGGCACATGGTGGCCTCTTCCAGCCCCTTCTGAAGGGAGGCATGGCACGTGACTTGCTTTGGCTAATGCAATGGGAGCAGAATCGAAGGGTGTCACTGCTGAGCAAAAGCTCTCGGGTCAGAGTGTTTCTCGCCACTTTCCTTCCCCCGTCTTGGGGATCAGGGAAGCACTCTGCAGGCTGGGCCTCTGTCCGCCCCCACGCCGCAGAGACCCTGCCCACCCAGACCTGACGTGTACCACCAGAGAGAAATTGACATTTGCTTTGGGGAGCCACTGAGGTTTGGGGGCTGGCTGTTCCTGCAGCAGAACCTAGCCCATCCTGCCTGACCCGTGCAGGTGACTCAGCATGAGAAGGAGTGGGTTTCAGATGATGCATGAGTGGGGATGAGTGGCGGGATGGATGTGTCTCACTGAAAACCACACATCCCACTCAAGGACACTCAAATGCCTCATTTTTAAAAACACCATGCTGGCCCAATAACACCCATCCGCCAGTGACTCAGACTGGGCCAAAGACCATAGCTGACTCTTCCTTCCGTGGGCTTAGGGATGGAGGGCGGGGGCACCCGTAGGAGCCCTCGCCACAGTGTGCAGCCTTCTGGGATGTGCACGCTGGTAGTGCCAGGCTCTTCCCCGGTTTGCAGGTGTGATGGCAGAGGGGCACATTGCCCTGTCTCCTGATGCCCAGACCCATGCCCAGGGCCGGCTGGCTCTCAAGGAGACCCCGGGGCACGGGAAGGCAGGCCCCTGGCTGATGGATTCTGTGTGGGGTCAGAGTGGGAACCCTGACCTCCCCCGAGACCTTGTGGGGAGCTTCCTCCCGGCTCCGGTCTCCTCGGCCTGTCTTCGGGGCTGCCCAGAAGCCTTCTCTCTGTGATTAATGAACATTTCCCCTCCCTCGGCCCCGCGCTGGGGGACGGATGGGATGTGGCTTTGGCTGTTGTGGGTAGTGCTGGGGTTTGGGGAGCCTTGGAGCGTGGGCTGCAGCTGTTTACTTGGCAGGCCTCACTTGCAGATGTGAGGCTGTGGGGCGGGAGGGGAGCCTGAGGGGTGGGGTGGAGCCCCATGAGGAGCCAGTGCCATTGCCCCTCCTCGGCAGGAGCCCCCAGACGGGGACTCACACCCCCTGCCCATGTGCAGAACCCTTGCTCTTAGAACCCGGCCCTGATGGTGGCCCGGCTCTCCACAGCTGGACACGTTTCCTCCTGCCCCTGCACCCCCTGGATGCTGGTCCCAAGGCCTCTCCTACTCAAGCCAGTTTGGTTTTGGTTTTGGGGTTGAAGCAACATTGGGCTCAAGCCCAGGCTCCAATTATCCTGGGCAGTAGAATTTGGAGCTGGGAGAGGCCAGGCGTGGAAGAGTTCTTAGCTCATGGAAAGCTGGAACTGTGGGCCCCTCCCTGCGTGGCTCGTCCCGGGGGACAGGGCAGGCCCTGCCTCTTCCTAGAGTGCAGCCATCGGCTTCCAGGATGTGAGCTCAGCAGCTCTGGGCGGGGGTCCTCTCCCCACCCCATCTGAGACGCTTTCTGTCTCTTGCCCAGAGGGGCCTGCCAGGTCTTTTTCAACCTAGAACAAAAAGTTGTAAGAGACGAGAGCAGGGAGGCTTTGCGAGTTATTGGCTGAGTGTGGTGGGATTAGAAAGGAGAGAGGGCACTCGGTGTACTCCGTCAGTACTGAACAGTTTTGTGCTTGTTGACATGAATAATTCACCCATTTCTTCTTCTTCCATCCTTCCAAGCTCCATCCATCCCTCCATTAATTGAAATATCTCCCAGTCAAGTCGTCCATCTGCCCATCCACCCACTCACACACCCATCCACCCCCATCCATCCCTCTATCCATACGTTAATCCATCCGTCTATCCATCACGACCATCGTCTAGGTGAGTCTTGCTCTGGGCCAGGCCCTGTGCCAGTTGCCAGGACACGGAGATCAACAGTTTGCCATCCCTGCCCTGAAAGTGCTCCCAGTCTGGTGGCCAGATATTCAAACAAACAGCAGTGTGTCCCCGGCAATATCGCGCTGTAGTGTACGTGAACGTCGTTTCGTGAATCCGGAGGATTAACTGACTCCAACTCCAATGACACCTCCCCTAGGACCCTTTATCGGATTCCACCGTGTGGCACGGGCATGTGACAGGCAGAGAGGGCGAAGGGCGTTTCTGGTAGAGCGCAGCCAGGCCAGAGCTCTGCAGACACACCGCGTGTTCCAGGGGGCGCGGCCCTGGCTGCAGGTGCCAGGGAAGCATCTGGAAAGGCCCGCCGGGCCGGGCCAGGTCGTGGAGGGCCTTCGACGGCAGGTAAAGGCTCTTGGACTTTGCCCGGTGGTCTTCAAGGCGCCCGGGAGAAGCAGGAAGCAGAGGTGATGCCTGCTCAGAGGTGTGTGTTAGGAAGATCGTGGCAGCAGGCATATCTGGGTTGGGATCCGACTCTGCTACTTTCTAATTCTGTGGCTTTGGGCAAGAAAAGTGACCCCCCCGGGCCTGTTTCTTGTTCTCCACAATGGAGGGGATGCGCTCCGCGTCGCTGGGGTGTGGTGAGCTGTCGTGAGATCCTACCCGAGGAGTAGCTGGCACAGTTCTGGACGCATAGAAGATGCCCAGGGACCACCTGGCTCTGGGCTGTGCTGGGACCCAGCTGCCGTTGGAGCTTCTGCTGCTGGCTTCAGCTCGCCGTGTGTGTTTGAGCCGGTCCCTCCATCTCCACTGGCTTCAGTGTCCTTGTGCACAAGTTGGTCATCAGGGTAGCCCCTCGCTGGACGGCTGTGAGCAGGGCACAGGGGACGAGAGTGCCTGGCAGGCCATCTGGGTGCAGGCACAGAGGTGGTGTCAGACTCAGGCAACTGGGGATGCCTCAGCTCCAGAAAGGCCCTGGGGACTGCACCAGTGACCCCAAGTGCCTGGCACAGGGCCACTCGAAACTCTTCCCACCCATGAGTAGCTCCGTCCTCCCACCCTGTCCCGCCCTGCCCAGCCGCTCCAAGGAGATGGCTCCCTGGCTCTCTGACGGCAGCTGCTAATCCCAGGGAGCAGCGGCGGCAGCGAGACCTGACATGTCTGTGGCGCGGCAGCCCGGCTTGCCCAACACCCGGTTCTGTGCCAGCCCCGCCAGCTGCAGAGCTGGGGCTGCTCCCCCGCCCCTGCCTGGCACCCCCTGCGACCTTGGCTCCTGCCTGACCTTGGATCCCAATGGGCCAGGGAAGAAGTCGGAGAAGGGCGTGTCCAAGAGAAGAGCCATACCCATCAGGGCCCAGTCCGCCCGCCCTTCTGTGGGCGGCCAGGAAGGCAGAGTGGGCAGGTCTGGCACCCAGGGCCTCGGCTCTCACGTGTCACTTAGCCTCTGTCGGAGCTGCAGTCGGCTCATCTGCAAAACGGGGGTGATAACGCTGACCTCTCAGGTTTCATCTGGGGGTCAAGATGAGAGAGGGGAGGGAAGGACCATTGCAGAGTGTAACTCTCGGGTGTTTGGTACCTGATGGCACAGTCACTTAGTGCCTGGCCTTGTTCTCAAGGAC